CAGCCTCTCCCCACCCTGTTTCTCCCTCCACCCGTGCCCCCTCCCCCTCTTCACATCTGACTCTCATGTACCTCCCCAGGCGTGACCTGCCCCCCACAACCGTCTAATATATAAGGTTTTTTCTTCATATTTCTACTTGAGGCAACCTTTTTAATACCTTACTTGTTTCCCAAGGACCTTGTACACTTTGAAGTAATAGATGGTAGATGTTTAACGTATAAGTTTTGCTTAGTTTTCCTCTGACACCTATACCTCTAGGATTTGATGTACTCATATAACGCCTTGTTCTACACTACTGTATAACCTTCGAAGAACCACCTGCACATCCCTTTACTGGAAATGGCATATAAACAGCAGACCCTTTTTGCAACCGTCCAACACTTTAGCACCGATTGCCACTTTGCCAATGTCTCTCCCACTGTTAGGACAGACAGGAAGATCAGGGATAAAGGGGATTGTCTCTACCGAATGCCTACCCTAAACAAAAATTAGCTGGCCATGCCACAATGATGGGATTGAAATGAATCCGGCACCCATTAGACAGCTATGGGAACAATCCAGAGCTGGGAATGCACACTAGGCACCTTCAACATCACATCACATGTAGACCTGAACTCAGCCACTGAGAAGGCCAGTGCCCTCAACCACTCCCTGGCCCCAAGTGGGGATAATAGGGGGTAAATAGCAGAGACTGAGAGCAGGCCTCTCTCTCTCTCTCAGCTCTGAGGAGGGCGGGATTTCTCCTGCGTGTGCAGCCTGCACTTGCCCACCCTCTCAAGGCTCGCTCTCATGGCTTCCTTTTTTCAGGCATTATTATTCTTTTGGTTCTGGAGCCTCCTCTTAACAGCCATTTTTCCTGTGGTTTTTCACACTGCCCTGAAGTGGCCATTTTTGGTGGCAAACTCTCCCCTTCGCCGGACATGTGGCCTTGCACGTTGCCATGTGCTATCTGAGACTATTACCCAAAACCTCCCTTTCCCTCATAAAAGTTACTTGGATTTACAAAAGTGCTTCTGCCTTGTCAATTCTTTCATCACTGAGAAGCAAGAACCAGGGAAAACCATCTCAGAGCCCTAACATTAGTAGTTGATCGCTCTGTCAAAGTCTTGTTGTGGAAAAAAGGCAGAAAGGACTTTGAACCCATAAACAGTTAAAGTGTTGGAAACCCACAGGGGAAGTCACAATGAGTCCTCGTCTGCTCAATGGCAGTGAGTTTGAAGTTTGGTTTGGGGACTTCTCTGTGTACGCAAAGCATCCTCTTCTCATGAACCGTGTGAACTTCGTAAATACCTCATTGGCCTCATCAGCTTTCTGTGGAGTGCTTCCAAAATGAAAAAAAAAACAAACCTGGACCCACTGCCTTCATATGAATTCCGACTCCTAGAAACCCTAGATGCGGTGCCTCAGACAATAAATTGCAAGAGCAGGCAGCGTCATCTTTCTCCAGCAGGGAAGCTGCTGGATTTGAATCCTTGACCTTGCAGTTAGCAGCCCAGTGCCTAACCCACAGTACTAACAGGGCCTCTTGGAACGGACAAGATGGCACCTAACAAAAGGATATTCTAAAAATGTATAATATTTTCAAAAATGCTTAAGTAAATACTGCTGACAGTAACACATGGCTACCTCACCAGACTCTCCATAAAAATGCCTATGAGACCACCCTTGAATCCATGTTGCCCTGTGTAACACTATAAATTCTGCATCTTG